TGAGATGACGCCGTCTATAGCAATCCTGTGGCTATTTACGTGCCACAACATTGAGCCGACCTCTCACAGGACCACATTTACAGATCCCACAGCTGGATTCCTTTATCACTTGGTGCGAGGTAATAAGGTTGATCTTGCCACTCTTTGCTATGATCAGATACATCATGTGGGCACTTTGGGAGATAGACACAGCTCAATGATCTTTCCAAGCCTCATCTCCGAAATTTGCATAGCTACTGGTCTAAATTTGTATCTGGGGAAGTGGCTGCCAAACCCAGCCCCACCATAAAGCGCAGTACCTTGGAGGCCCAAGACAGAGCCATGTTAAAGCACTGGGAGAAGCAAGAAATTGAAAGGCGCAGACAACAGGAAGAGCAAGGTCACGAGCAAGCAGAGCAAGAGATGCCTCAAGCTCCTCCATCATAGGCTGAGTTAAATGCACAGTTGTGGCGCCAGATTTTCACCACCACCACGGGGACCAGCCGAGACGTGCAGAGTCTCCAGCAGGCTATGGGGACTTTGACGACTGAGATGCATACAGCCCACCGTGACATCCGCATTTCCACTGATATGTCACGTGCTGCTCGCCAAGATGCCCAGGCAGCTAGGAGGGAGATGGATACTATGAACGGTCGACTCAGTGTGTATGTGGGCAGGGTGGATGGCATCCAGATGAGGGTGAATGAAACTTGGGAGCGTTTGGGCCATTTGGAGACACGTGTTGAGGGAATCCATGATGAAATGACACAGCAGTCAGCCCTGATGAGAGAGATCTTGGCGCGCCTACCTCCACCTCCAGCTGATGATACTACAGGATCTAGCTTACCATCGCAGCCCCCGTATTGATCAGGGGAGTATCGTTTGCCTCATTTGTATTCATTATCTTTAAATTCTGCCTTCTAAACTTATTTTTCACATTGTGGACAATGTCTTGTATAAGTTTGGGGGATGGTGGCATAATTTGATTAAGACATTCAGCATGTAACTAATTGCATTTCCACAATCTAGATTTATTTTGACTAATTGCTGCATGAGACATGCTTGTGAGTGACTATTGATTATGTTTATGTATGCTTGTGTGAGCTTGATCGCCTTGCCGGCTATGATGTTACTATTGGATTGATACATTTCAGAACTTTGGGGTCGGTGTTAATTAGGCTAACTAATACTTGTTGATGCATTACTTGACATTCTTTATGCACGTCATTCATGCTTGACATGTTAGGTAAGTGATTGGGGTTTTGAGCATAAAGTAGAGAGATAATTATAACCCTCTATTGAATTAACCCGTAAACTACCTTAAGACAGTTTGGTGATAGTTGAGCTATTATAGGAGAACATTGAAATGAGTGAGGCTCCGTGCATGAATTATTGTGTGGATTGCCTAGACCAGTGGGATGAAGAGTGGGTGAAAGTCTTAAATTGAGGGTTGGTTTTGGATACCAGATGTCTAGAAAAATAAGGGCATAAACTTAATTTGTGAGAATAAGACACTTCTTTTTCAGCCTTTATGACTCGAGCAAGTAAACATGTAAGGATATTTCAAAATCTGTTGCCCTAAGGTCAACTGATCTGGGAGTCACCGGCCTAAAGCTCGATACATGAGTTATATAGAAAGCAAATGAGAAGATGATATATAAAAAAAATGAGAAAAAAAACCAGAGAAAAGTGAGAAAAACAAAAAAGAGACAATAACAAGAAGAAAAGCCCTTGGACAATTGGTGGAAGAAACTATACCTTTGAGGCGAGACAAGTAACCTAGTTTAGTCTTGAGTGTCGAAGCAATCAAAACTAGGAGAGCCTTCACTTATTAACGTGTGAACTTGTGATAGTGAAATTAATCCAAACTACGAGAGGGTGAGAACTAAAGCTAGGTAAACTCATAATTTTTAAACACAATCCCGGGATAATTGAGTGAAAAGAATAAGTTTGGGGGGATGTGTATCTCTCGAGCGAGTAAGGAGACATTTGACCACTTGGGGTCGGCACTCAAACTCATCATGAACTTGATATGTTAGCATGAATCCACACACACACACGTCAAGTATGCATTTAACAGGTAAAGGTTGATGTCATCTTGCACTGATAAATTTTCATAAAATCAATTATTTAGTCCAATCCTGAGCCAAGGCAAGGTGTTAAGCCATGTTTGTTCAGAATTATATCACTATTTTGTTTGAGGACAAACAATAGTTCAAGTTTGGGGGGTTTGATAAGTGTGTTTTTGCACACTTATTTACATCACAAACATGACTTAAATACAAGTAAAATGATTGAATTGTTACTTAACTTTGTCAAATTCATGCAATACAGGAAATTCTACGGAAATAGTGGAATTTAGGAGAAAAGAGCCGAAAAAGGACCAAATTGGAGCAAAATGAGAATTCAGGGACCAAATTGCAATTATCTGAAAGTTAACCCGATGAACACATCAAGCAATTGATCAAGCCAAGCACCAATTGGAAGTTATAAGGGAAAATTGGAGCAATTAGGAACAAGAGAAGAAGTCAAGGAGTGAAGGAATGAAACTTGAGGACCAAAATGACTCAAACAAGAAGTTAGCTCTACCATGCGGTCGCATAGTATAAAACCTATGCGACCGCGAGTGAACCTCCAGGGATTAAAAATGGCGTTTTTCTTAAACCTATGTGGTCGCATAGGTATAATTTTTCCCCGGATTTTGCAGTTTCCTTATATGATTGCAGCTCCTTTGGTAACCTAATTTGGATGGGTTTAAATAGCAACAAGACGTCCAGAAGCCGCACGAACGACTTGGGAGGCTAAAACATTCATTGTGGAGTGGAATTGAAAGCAAGAACAAGAATTGATGCAAGATTTAGAAGATTTATTCAAGTTTTGATAACTCGGTGATGTATTTTATTCATACTTTGTTAGATTTCGTTATTTTTATCATGATAGGCTAGATTTTAGCAACTAGGTGATCGATGAACCATGTAATTATTATTAAACTTGCTATTTCATGATTTTGAATTATTAGTTCGATGGGATATTTGAATGGATTATATTGGTTTATTTCTTTCCACAATTAATGTGCACTTGATTTGTGTGAACTTGGTGGTTTAATTCTGAATTTGAGAAAATTAGATTAAACTCGACATATATAATTCATCATAGGGTCCGATAGGGGATAAAAATATACCCCTATGCCCTATGTAAATCTTTAATTGCTCACAAAAAGATTATATGCGTTCTTATATAATTGCATCCGTTATAGAGATATAGGCTGATGATTTATGAGAATATGTTCAATACATCTCGAGAGAGAGTATCGAATAGATTTAGGAGTATTGATTTATCAAATTCTTATTGAATTATTAAAATTGTGAAATTAGGGTTTAATTAGTAATTATTTGAGGATTCGTGATCTTAGTGCATTCGTTTTACATAGATTTTCATAAATTGACAGTACATTTTATTTATTTTTTATAATATTTCGTAATTGAGTCATTAGTTAAGTGAATTTAAGTAATTAGGGTTAGATTTGAAATTAGGATTTTTCAATTTGGGGATTTCTCCCAAAATTAGGGTTTTTGATTCCAAAATTCATTTTAACTCAATTAGTTTCGGTTAAGGCTAAAATAAGTAAAATTGAACTACTCTTTCTCTGTGGAACGATACTCGGACTTCTAAAGTCCACTTTATTACTTGTTAACGAACCGTACATTTGCGGTAATTTAAATCGAAAGAATATTTCGCGAACACTCTCCATGATTTAAATAGTTCATTTTTTGTATATACAATGTATACACGTTTGTCATGCTCATTGGACTGTTTAACGGTTTCGAGTAAAGTGATTTCTCTTTGACCTTCAAAATTTGTATATCGATTATGAGTTAATGACTTTTCCTCTTGGTGGTGACTTGTGAGAGGACCACACGACAGGCGCTTTATGACGTTCTCTGTGAGGATTTAATCTAAATTGCAATTATATTGAAACTTACTAAATTGTATAGATTTAAATTATAAATATCTATTGAGTCACGGCCACATATGGTAAACCTTACGAGTCTCGTAAAGAATTTGTTAAAATTTATTAAAGTCAGTTGTTGAACTTCAACTAGTCCCAATTGATTCTGGAATTTACTCTTTGATTACAGTCAAGTTATTCCATCTGATTTTCGGCAAAATGGAAAAATGATATGAATATCGATATAACATAATAAATGTGATTTAGACATAAATAATCAAAGTTCCATGTTATAGTTTATGTTGCCAAGCTGACGAATTAAAACAAAAGATTAATCTGAAGTAGTTGAAACGAATTTTTTTTAGCCAAACACGACCATATAAACAAGATAATATTGAAGTCATCACGACAAATAATGAAAAATATGATTGCTAACGGATATTTTTCCCCACTTATAAAGAAAAATAATAATCTAAGAAGGGCATATTTAATAGATAGTATAAGACACGACTAGATAATAAGTTAATTTATTTTTTCATTAATATCCTTCCATACTATGGAATACTGGACTAGATAAATTCTAAGAAACCTCGTAAATAGTGAAGACGGTTCCTAGAAAAAAAAAAGACCAAATATAAGGAGATTTCAGAAAAAAATTTCTTGAACGACCCCATATTGTCCTAAAGAAAGGCAACAACAAGTAATAAACCCAATGGCATTGGCTGCCAACATGTTTCGAGCTAAAACACAATCCCCAAAATCTTATGGTTCTCAATTGCCCCCACAACCCCACATGCCACTGTTCGTATCCCTAATCTCTCCCCAACTTTATATACTCTCTTGCAGTCCCTTCTTTCTAACCATACCTTAATTTCCCACTCTAGACGAGTCGGGTCATTGCATTTTTCTGTTACTTAAAAAATAGCTATTTTAAGTTCTACGACTCGAATACTCATCATAAATTCCTTGCAAACATTCATCCTACACATCTGTTCTACTCGAGTTGTTGCTTTTCTTTTCTCTTACTTCGAAACTAACTACTTCAGCTTCATCAACCCGAATATTAAATATTATGAAAATGGCTAATAGGAAATTAAATAAGCTGTTACAATTTGCAGTTTTAAAGCAGATATTAAAGAGGTGTTCAAGCTTGGGGAAGAAAGTCCAAGGATATGATGAAGAATGGCTTCCTGTGGATGTGCCAAAAGGTCATTTTGTAGTGTATGTGGGGAAAAATAGAAGCAGATATATTGTTCCAATTTCATTCTTGACAAGACCTGAATTCAGGAACCTTCTTCAAAGTGCTGAAGATGAATTTGGGTTTGATCATGACATGGGACTCACCATTCCTTGCGAAGAATATGTTTTCCAGTCTTTGACATCCCTGCTTAGGAAACGGTCAGAAAGACAAACTTGAGTTTTTCTTTCAAGAAAATTCTACTACAGATTCTTGAAAGTGCTTTATTTTTGGATTTTTTTTTGCCCCACCATTGTTTAGCCAATTAAAGAAACCTTATCATCATTATCGTTGATTTGGGTTTTTTGAAGTGTAAATCTGGAAGGAAAAATAATAATAATAATAATTTCCTCGTTGAGGTGTTCGGTTGTATATTGCAACTTGTACCCTGTGAGAAAACTAATGTAGAAGGATTCATGTCGATCTCTTTGCCTTTTCCCCCTTCCAAATGTTCGAAATATAGTTGAATCATGTAAATTTAATGGACCGTGCTGTGAGCACAGCTTGGCACACGGCACGGTTGACAGCCCCTCACATTGGAGGGGGCCCGCACACATTAAAAATAAATAAAATAGAGGTGGTGCCCCCTCATTGTGAGGGGCTGTGAACCATGATATACAGCAAGTGTTGTACACTAGACAAAAAAAAGAGAAACTAAAGCATCATATTTATAGGAAAAAATTAATGCTACAAGGAATACAACAGTCATAATAATTAGGACTGCAGAATTATAAAAGTCGTTCATAAATACTATTATATAAACAATTCATAAATACTATTATATATGCAATACTCCTCCTTAAATGACTATTTAAACAATAGCTATCTCATTGGAACCTTGTTTAGCAAAAAATCTGATGGGACAAAAATGCCACAAATTGAAAAAAAAAAACAAATAATTTGGAGTAATAAAATGTTGCCTCGTTAAAGCCTTGTCATTAAAATTCAATGGGACAAAACTTGATCGAATAAAAAATAGTAACTATTCTTGATGTCGATTCTGGTACTAAGTGACTTATGTTTTGTATGTCAATGTCTTCAACATTGATATCTTGTATGTTAATATCTTCAAGAAAATCCAATGAGATAAAATTTGATGACTGAGTAACAGGATGATTTGAAAAATAGATCTTGTAGATCTTTTCGAGAGTTTTGTACTTATAAAAGAGGGTTAATGTCTAGCATGTTGTTATGGACATTTATATGCATCTTTAAAACCTTATTAGGAAAAACTCAGAAAAAATACTAATAAATGAAAAATAATACATTATTCTTTTAAATACATATAAAAATTGTCTCGTTAAAAACCTTGTTAGGAAAACTCAATGGAACAAAACCTTGGCCAAGGGAAAAATAGTACAACATGTATTCGTTCTCCCCCTTGTGATAATATCACTTGAATCATGGTTCATGCATATTATATCCTTCAACGATAGTATTAAATTTATATAAGATAAGCTGATTATAATTACATTCATTATATGCATAACAAATTCAGTTCATTGTCACGCTAACACTGTAGATACTTGTGATTACATCCACCCTATGATAACTCATTTATTTATACAATTTTTTGTGAAAATTCATTTTGTAAAGAGTCATAAATTTTATATTATGACTTTATTTTTTTTCATTTTCATTTTGCATAAGTATATACCTTTAGGTGTTCGGACTGTAGATCCAACAACTTCAAGTTTCTCTAATAAATTCAATTTTTTAGGATCACGTCCATTTATTTTGGCCAATCATTGCATCTATCCATATGTTTGATAAATTTATTTCAATTCTTCGTTATTCATAATATGATGCAGTACATCATTTGCAAAAGTATTATCAATAACTTTTTTTTTTGTCGATTCTATTTATTTTTTTATAACCACATAACTTATTTAGATATTTCAATTTTCAATATATCATGTACATGAACCATTTCTAAAGTTTTATAATTTGTTATGTATTAATATGTAAGTGTATTTCTCCTTAATGCGACCAATTTTGTTAATTGTTCCATTTTCGTTTGAAGTTTTTTTTTTTTATTAGAATTGAATATCATTACACTTTAGATGCACCATAAATTATCAAATATAATATTAACTAATTGCCTCTAGGATGTTAATTCGAATTAGAGCATCTGAAGGTGATGTGTGAGATATTATTGATCCATTTAGTTAGTAAATATATCTAAATAAATTATCTTTCGAACTTCTTGTTCGAATGATATTTTACCATGATTTAGATAATGAAGCATTTGTACATTATTTTCAGATTCTTAATTCCTTCCTCTAATGTTAGGAGAAATGTCTAATCAAAATTTACAATCAATAACTTGCGTTATGAAATATCATCCATTAGGACTTGAAATATTATATAAGGATTCAAACTACTCATCTATTTTTAACATTCTTTATTTTTCATCACAATGCACTGTAGTGGATTAATTTTACATATGCTGTACTATCAAAATAATTAGATGAAAATTTTGGCTATCACCATAAATCAATTATAATATGGAGAACCATGATATTGGCATAATGTGTAATAGCACTTCCTAAATAGAAATGAAAAATATTTTATTCTCAATTAAATTAATTGGAGACGTTTAACAAGCAATAACGTTAAATCATTTATCAACATCTCAATTAACACTTATCAAACAATTAAAATTTGGGATCATTAGCATTATCAAGACATAGTGTCTTAATTGTATAATCTGGAAATTATGCTCATAATAGAAAATTTGAGCAGTACTTTGCAAACTTCAGGTTGAAACACCATAAATCATCTGGTATATATATCAAATTTATTAGATACAACTAATATTTAGATAGTCAATATGATGGGTAACTAGGCCTCATTTATAATCCTAATTAATTTTCAGAAATATAGAGAATTCAATCCATATTTTAACTAGTGATAGTTAATGATAAATTGTCAATAAAGAGAACAAATAATAAATAGAAATTCATTGATTGAATAATCTTCTATTTCTTTTTTAAATATCAATTTAAATTTTTAATTTCGCATCATTATTGATTCAGTGGTGATTCAACTAGTCATGCAAAATAATAAAATCAAATTAAACTTCTAATTTAATATAAGATATAATTCAATTATTGATTTTCGAAAAATATAATTAAACATTATATACTTGTATAATATTCAATCAAGTAGACAAACTAAGTAATGTCAACATGACTTGAGTTATATACTTTCCTTCAAGAATAAACACGATTCAAAATGATATAATCTTCGGAGCATGTGCTACTTCGAAAATAAATTGTATGTTATTATTGCTTTTTTAAGAGCAATATATCAATATTCTTTTGAAATATTGGAATCATAGTGTCATGCACGTGAGGAATAATAACATATTATTATTTAAAATAATAAATTGTATAAAAATTTACTCTTTAGGAGTAAAAACAAACTTTTTAATTATGTTCTTCGGAACCAAGTAAAATATAACTAAAACATAAATAATAGTATGCTACTTCAAGAGCAACAACAAATTATTATTTAGAAAATATTAATTCTTAAGGAGTACATATTCTATAAGAATATAATATTTACAGAGTTGTGCTTCTTCTGGAACATGTCAATATTCTTTTGCAATGTTGAAAATTAAAATTCATGATTGTCAAGAACAAAAAATATTTTTCTGAAATATTAATTATAATGTTGTGTTACTTTAGGAGCAACATCATAAATTATTAATTTAAAATTTATATAAGAGTATCTAAAAATATGTAATCAGGTTAAAACTATTAATTACCATACAAATAGGATATGATATAAAAATTAATTACCAAACATGCATCACGAATAAAAACAATCTTCATATATACAAGTTAACAAAATTGACTAAAGCTTTTATTGGCTAAATTTTTTTTACCAACATGCAAAAAAATATCGAACACGCACATAAATTCCACATATTCAAAAATTCAAGGTAGAATTAAAGATAGGGTTGGGTAAAAACCAACAAACCCGGTTCGGGTCAATTTTTTCTTAAAAATCTGTTGAGTTAGATTTTTTTACAAGAAAATGGGTTGAGTGGGTAGGGTTACAGGTTGACCCTTTAAAACTGATAAAACCCACGCCAACCCAATCCGCTAGTTAAAAAATTAAAAACATATATAAAAATTAAAAAGTTAAAACATCGAGGTCCTAGGTTACAAAATCTTATCATTTCTCTCAGACTTCATGTTTCTCTCTAGGCCTAAAGCTTAATGCCGCCCTCTCTCATTCCCTCTCGTTCAATCCTATTGATCCTCATCAACTCTTTTTGCATTTATGCTTGACGCTAATCGTCGACCTTTATTCCTTTTGGTACTCATAAGTTTAAATTTTAAGTTGATTATTTATTTATGTTTTGCAAATGTGATGTCATAATATGATAATTAGGAGCTTGGTTTCAGGGCTTATTTTTCCCATTCAGTAAGATGATAATTTGTATAACATGTGCATTTTCCTTCATACCTGATTACAAGTTTTGTTTCATGGCTGGAACCTTGGGGTTGATAGGTTATTATTGTCAAGCGTATTTTTATGATATTTAATATCTAAATCGACCGACCTACCCAACCCAATCGAAACTTGATTGGGTTGGGTTGAGACACATAAATGAGTTGGATTGGGTTTGGGCTGGGTAAAATATCTACCCGAACCAACACGAGCCCACTCCTAATTAAGGGTACAACTAATATAAGGTAGAATCAAAAGGCAGAATTACATGAATAATATGTGACAAAACAAATTGCGTATGAATCGAAAGGAATGAATTAATGGTAAATCATGAATTAATATGTGTACAAATTACACATGCAAACGTAAATTAGAATTATTATGCATATAAAACGACAAGCAGGGAAAAAAAAAAGCAACCTTTTATGATGCATATGTACATCGAAAGAATTCACTTATCACCAAATTAATTTGGGTACACGCGACACATGATTATGCTTACAAAAATTATTACCTTCTAACTACTTTACTTTGATTTTAAGATAATCTTATTGATACCGTGTTTTAAAATAGGAAGAAAAAGAAAGGAATTAAAGAGATAAGTCAATAAATTTGTGTGTTTTATTAAGAGCCAAAATCTCATATTTTTAAGGAAAATTAGGACTATAAGAGATACAAAAGTTATAATGAATATGGCCGTAGGGATATAAAAGTTATTCATAAATACTACTATATTTACAATACTTTGATATATCTCATTCACATGAAAATTGGATTTTTTAGGTGAATAGAGGATATTTATCCCCTGTGGATTAAAATTCAAATTAAAATTTAAATCAAAATTAATAATTAATTTTAATCACATATTTCATGGATCCCACAACTTTTCAACTATACATTTTATTACCTTTTATCAAAATTTACTAAAAATTTGATTTTAATCCTCACAAAATAGGAGTTTAGTGTTATTTATATTATTAATATCTGCAACAATATTTACGGGGAAGGGGGAAAATAATGGTTTTAAAAGTTTTGAAGGTAGACGGAGGGAGATAAATAAAGGAACCAAAGTATGTATACTTATGCGCCACAGTGCAATCGACTTTATCTTAGTGTAAATTATTAGAGACACACAAAAAATTAAGACGTCTCAAACTTTTCAAAAAAGGCTTCAGGTTGTTAGGGTTGAGGTGGGAAGGAGAGTTGAAGGGCTTGGATGGATTGGAGAAGATAAATGTTTTAAATTTTTTGTTCATTATTTTTCTTTTTAGTATCTTTTTGCTTTTTGTTCTACTTTTTAAGTGTTTTAATTAATTAAAGTTAACTTATCACTTTATCCTACGTGTAATTGGTAAAGTTAAGGTCATACGTTTGACTTTCGGTCAATTAATAGATTTTCCTTTTTTTAAGAAATTTTTAGAGATCATTTTTGCACAAATTTATAAAAATGCTTGGAATATTTGTTCTACGATCAGTGGCGGATCTAGGTGGTGGTGAGCTAGGGCGGCCGGATTAGCCGATCGTCGGAGCCACAGGGGCGGAGCCAATTGATTGTTCCAGTTTGTGGTTGTAGAGATGAAGGCTGAAGGGGGAAGAAGGAGAGCTCCATTTTTATTCTTTGGGGCTTGGGTTGGTGATTGGACCATGGGGGAAAGAAGAAGAAGAGTTGCAGACACGAAGGTTGATTGGACCTTGATTGCAGACACAAAGGCTGAAGGGAGGAAGAAGAAGAAGAGTTCCATTTTAATTTTTTTTCATTTGGGCTTGGGCTGGTGATTGGACCATGGGCCTCTTTTTGTTTAAAAAAAAAAATAGCCCATAGAAGAAATCAATGAATGGTTGGTCCATCATCCATGGTGTTTCCCCCCAATCCAAAGTCAAAATCCCCAACATTTGAAATCAAAAGCAAAGACATAAAGACCCAAAATGCAAACCCTTCCTTCCATATCCATATTTCCATTCGAAGCAGAAGTAGCAGCCGCGACGCTTGCGAAGTGGGAAGTGCAACTGTGCGAGCAGTGGACCATGTGCGAATTGGTGCGATGGTAGGGGCGAATCTCCGACGACTGAGGCCGAGCAAGCATCGTGGGTCTCAGGTAGTTAATTTTTTTTCCTTCACTCTCTTGTTTTTTATATTTATGGTTTGGCTTGAATTTTACTTATAATTAATTATCATATTAATTGAATTATAATTATTTTTTTATGACTGAGTTTTTCATATTATGAGTTTTATTGGCATGGATAATTGGATTTGTGCATTTCCTTTACCAGATTAATTGATATGTGCTTATGGATTATGGATGGTTGGATTAAATCAGTAATATTCTTATTTGGGATCCACTAAACTTCTATTTCTCAAAAACGAGTCTTGTAGTGGAAAATGATTGCAGTTTTGTTGCTCATTAAAGGGTTTTAAGTGATTAATTGAGATTGCTTTTTTTGTCTTGATGTTGTTAGCTTTGTTCCTTAGGTTTATCTTGCTGGTAATTAAATTGCTCATGAAGCTTATCTTAAATTCTTTTAATTCGGATTGCTCTAAGCTTGATTAAGTACTTTTGTTGCATTATGTCATGGTAGAAAATCAAACAAGTGTTTGATTGCTTTGTATCATATATTTATTTAGCATTTTAGGTTATATTGAACTATATTTTCATATGTATGTAATTTTTACTTTTTAGTGCATTTACATATATATTGAACAATTTTTAATATTATTTAATCAAATTTTAATAAAAAATCGGGCTATTACGATCATTGATTATCAATGGTTAATGGTCAAAGGTAACTTCCGCCCTAGCTGAACATCGATGCTAGATTCGCCCCTGGCTACGATTTAAAGGTTTGAGATTGCGCTACACATTTTTAAAACTTTGAAACTCTCCTACAATATTTCTAGAATTGATTGATTATCGTGTCTATTTCTAGTTGAAATCCCTATTTGGTACCCATCGTTTTAAAATTCTTTTTGCTACAGCATCATTTTCAATCACATATTCACACAATAAAATATTTAACACGTGAATCCAAATTATTTTTTCCTAATTCTCCTAAAATACTATTCTAAACTATTTTGTTTTTTTAATAATTAATGGGCACCACACAAGGGCTAAATTACCAAATATTTAAGTTTGATGACCATTTTGTATCCAATTTTTAGCCAAATTATAGACGTCACACAACGAGTGTATTAGGGAGTGGCATAAACATTTTGAATGAATAACGTAAAATTACCTGTTTGCCCCTACACGTAAAATTCATTCTTATGTAAATAATGGCAATTCGATAATTTGATTCCATTGCAATAAATACTTTCTGCAGAGTTGGATCCATTGACAAACACCAATGGTCACATTTTGTATTAAAAATTGGACAAAATGGCTCCCAAACATGTGATTAAATTATGTATTCTTCATAGAACTGATAGAAGGCATAGAAGTCAATGTCTTAACTGTAACGCAACCTTAAGTTTCATATTTGATCGTAACGAACGAAAGGAATGAGTGATTTTTGTTCAGTTACGTGCGTATTGCACGCTAAGCTTTCACTTTGTGTTTCCACTTGCTTGCATGTTAATTTCAAGACTGGAAATGGGTAATATGATAATGTATAATAATTTATAGTAATAATTAATTACGTTTGACCCGCATTTTCCTTTTTATTGAGTATTTGTTCATGGTTCAATTATGTTACAAGTACGTAAGATTTTGACAAACTACACATGACAAGAATTGATTGGAAGACGGAAATAGTAAAAAATAAAAATAAAAATCCAATCATTTGAGACCACATCAGCGTTAGTAAGGATTCTACTAAAAATTCAATGTACTCACGGCTTTTTCCGTTTATGAAAATCAAGTCAGGGCAGAAAATTGAACATATTATACTTGATTGAGTAATTAATATATCAGATATATTTCAGAAAAATAATAAGGGGACAAAAAACAGATGTGTGCTTAGATGTTGAATTTGAATAAAAAAAATTAGAAAATTCTTGTAGAGATCTAATTAAATCTTTGAAAACTTTAATAATTAACAGGAACGGAGCTAAGAATCAACATTACGGGGGTCAAAAAATTTAAAATTTTAATGTATGAATAAAATTCAGATATATCAAAAAAGTTGTAATATAACATTAGCTATTACGGTTGTATCCTTAGATTTATCACTCTTTGAAAAGAAAAATAACACTGTTGTTCTGATGCACAAAAAACCGAAACATTTTCAGCATGTATAGATAAAATTCAAAATAGAGACAAGTTACGACAAAATTGTGGCTGTGTGTCTAACTAGGCCAAATATGAAACAATTAATGTGTGAGGTGTAGTCATAGAGTGGTAAACAAATTGAGGGTTCAATGTAAAAGCTTAATCTTCTCCAGACTACAACTCCCATTGATGCAATATGATTTCGGGTGGACATTATCGATTGCAGTAATAGTTTTCTATTGTAGCGAAATATTAAGATCAGAACTTTCTGTTTGTAAAAATTGAATGAATACAATGAATAAGGATTGAACAAAATCTTGAGACATGAAGAAGATGATTCTGCTAGATCAATTGATGATTTTTAGAGTTTTGATTTTCATGAATTGTGCCAATCGACTTGAATGGGAGTGAAATAGGGATTACGACCAAAATTGAGGGGAGAATGATTCCAAGATTTTGATATAATATTGAATATGACTTCTCAATTGGGTAATAAGTGATTTTTTTCTCCAATTGGGTCCATTTTGTGAACGTAATGACCGCCTTATTAATTAAACATAATTTAGGAGTGAATACATTCTTCCAACCCAAATGCACAATCAATAATAACTGAATATTTTATTAAAAGGGATTATATGGAGTAATTTTCACTTTAAACAAATAAATAGTTTTAAGAATTAGACTGGACTTGCCAAGTGGTATTAATTGTTGGTGCGCTATACACTAAAATTTAAAACCATTTTTCATAAATTTATTTTCTTGGACCTGGACTTTGGGGGAAGTGGGCTATAGCGTAGTAGAGCCCGCTACCAAATCCGTCCATTCTTTAGTTGCATAGAAAGATATGAAAATAAATATTCGACAAAGGATATTAAACAGATAAAAATGTTAAAACATATAAGTGAATCAAACATAAAAGTAGTTTTTTTTTCTTTGTCATCTATCTTTTCCTTGATTTAATCCATGATTCGAATAAAAATGTTAAGAAGAATTTTCGGCACGAACCACGATTGTAAGATCTATTGCCAATTCTCGATTATCAATAGTATCTGGTTCATCTATGAATCCTATTTATTTATCAAATTAAGCGATCCCTTTGATTTACGTCCTAGTACTAAAATAAGAGGGCCAAAGTTCATCCATACTGACCAGATACCCCTTACTACTTGGTAAGACATCAAAAAATTTTATTTTACTTTTTCGAAAATATTTGTTAACCTAAATTTAACGAAAATATGTTATTTGTAGACTATCACTAGTAATCGGTACAAAAATGAACTTTCGAAATACAGCATTATAAAATGTAGTTTTACATCCATTTTGCAATTGATTTATACTTTTCCTAATAGAAATTGTTATTTGTTACCATATATCAAAACTAGTATATAAATAATTAATTTTACAAATACTTTATGCGAGTGTAATTGCACCAAAGTATTTATCTTTTTCTGTCAAAAAAGGATTTTAAGGGAGAAAAATATATCTTTTAATTTGATATTTCATTGCTAAAAATTAACAACCACAATAAAAAATATTTGTTTATTTGTAGACCCCAAAAATGTTTGTTTATTCACCTACAAAGATAACGTAAGAATTAGGACTTGATAAAGGTTTAAAGAAATAGTGAAATGCATTGACCTAATTTTTACTCTTTCTAAACAATGTTAAAAACATTATAGGAGTTTTAAGTAAATTTAATAAGAAAAGCTAGAAATTATTAATTTTCTCATTTGTGCTTTAAATTACGCTTCGTGTTTGTCCTTTTTCTGTTTCTCGAACAAGCTACTTTCTACTCTTTCAGATATTTGGTGATTGAAAAAATTTTGAAAGCTCTTTTCAGAAGCTTGACTTGAAAACTTGTATTGGGCTGGTAGACTTCTCATGCACTAGAGCTTAGGGCATGATATTTTTCTTCTTCCTAAAAGTTTAAAACAAAATAAAGTCATTATATTTATTTATGTTATTTTTAGCTGAATTTCCCTTTCATTTAAAACATAAATGGAAGTAATTGGGCTTAATCGTGGGATGGAAAATCATTCAAGTCCACATCAGCAAAATGGACAAAAAATAGGGTTAAACTACATGTACACCGAGCCTTACAGCAAAATGAACGAAAAATAGAGTTACAGCTCGGTGTAACTCCCTCACATGGAGGGTGGGGCCTGTGCATTAATTGGACGTGGACCTCTCCCCTCATGTGAGGGGAGTGTAAGACTCGATGTATAAAGGGTGAAATCCAAAAAAAATATTTCATTCAAAAGGAATATTTTGTACTAGTCATTTTGTCCGTTATCCCTTTCGATTTGAAAAACACTACTTGTCCAAGGCCACATGGGCTCAGGACAAAATGGGACCCCCGACCTATAGGGGGCGCCAAATCTGTCCAGCGCCCACATGGCCCTGGACGCATAGCCTCTCTCTTTCGATTTTAACCATAAGAAGAGAATACGTAAAATTCCAGCAAAGGTCACGCAACTTGTATGTTCATTTCATTTTGAGCACTAAAAATTTCGTTTTTCTAATTTGACCAGTTAACTTGTGTTGTTATTTCAATTTAACTAATTCGTTTATCGTTAACAAGAGTTCTTGATTCATGTATTACGTATATTCTTGGCAACAAAATTTGATTTAGGTGCTAAAAATTTAAAGGTCTCCCGATTTTATGGTAAAAATGTGATTCTTTCGAGGAGGTTGATAGATAGGTAAACATTGGACCCATCCCACTAAACAACTCATGAATTTCGTCAGCTAGGTCACGAGTTCCATCAATTTTGATAACAATTATAGGCGTAATAGTTAAATTAAAATGGAAATATAAGTATGGTCATCAAATTAAACTAAACATGTAAGTTGGATAAGCTCGACCGAAATTTTTCAGATGATATTTATGATAGTAATGGCCCTACAGGTGATGGTAGAAATTTAAATGTGGGCCGCGTAATTCTATGGGTCTAATCGACCTGATACCACTTGAAAATTCAATTAAATGGAAATTACACAAAACTAAGAGTTTAAACATCACAATTCAAAAATCAGGTACCAAGTTTTATTATTCGCAAATCAGGCATTATATATAATTGATCCACCCAATTTAATTAAAAATCCTAATCATTTTTCCCATTTCCATCTCACTCTATTCTGCTCCCTAATCTCTCTTCCCTCTCAACAGTAATCGCGCCGCTTGTGGAAGATTATCTCCGGTGCAGCAATTTTACCATTGGTGTTGAACCACCTACGAGGTGGCGTCACCGTTGGAAGATTTCTTGGCGTGGTATCAGGGGCGATTCCTATTTTCTTTCTCTATATACCT